ACACACACACACACACACACACACACACACACACACACACACACACACACACACATTTTCTTTTCAGATATAAGGCTCACTGTAGAGCCCTAGCTGGCCTGGAATTCAATATATAGACCAGACCGACCTTAAACTTACAGAGGTCTTACTGCCTCTGCCTCTGCTAGATAATTAATGTACCATCATGGCCAGGAAGTAAAATTAACAGAGAACCTGGTGACCTAAGTCTTTGACACCAGCAGCTGGGAGGCAGAGGTAGGTAGATCTGTTAATTAGAGACCACCCTATCTGTTTTACACAGTGGATTATTTCAGGCCAGCCAGGGCTAAAAGTGGAACCCTATCAAAAAGAATTTTAAATAATTAAAAACAAATTAGTAGACAAGCCCACAACTTTAATCTTGTCAATGAGTCATTAAGACTTCATTTCAAATAAAACCTAACTCCATGACCCTCCCTAGGTAAAGAACACTAGAATTTTCTCTCCCTTTCTGGACATCATCAGAGCTTTAAAAAAAAAAAAAAAAAGCCAAGGAGCTATACTTTAAACAATAACCCAAAATAGCTAGGCATAGAAAATTCACAGAACTAGGGCCAAGCAATTCTCCATCCTAAGCAATTTAAAGGCAATAAGTAAATGGGCTCTCGAACAGTCTTAAGTTACCAAGAATTGAGGCAAGACATCCAGACTAAATGAAGTTGGCTGGGCACAGTAACCTGAGCTTTGCTCCTAATACTCAGGAAGAGGAGGTAGGACAGCATGAGTTCAAGGCCAGCTTGGGCTATATAATGAGCTCCTTGTCTCAAAAATAAAAGTTTATTGCAGAGCTTGTGTACAAGAGCTAAGCTAGGGACCAACCCAGGTGTTCACCAACAGAGAACAAAGAAAATGTGGTATATTATACAGGCAAAGTAAGTCAGTCTTAGAAAGTCTAGTTTTCTCCAATATTTGAGTCCTAAATTTACAGATACATAAAATCATGTATGTACAGAGGACATACAAGTAGATACAATACTATTAAAGAGGAACAAAGAACTGATGGGAAGGGGAAGGGGAAGAGACCTCAGTGCAGCAGGCAGGCAGGAGGCAGAGGCAAGTAGATCTCTGAGTTCAAGGCCAGCCTGGTCTACATAGTAAGTTCCAGGACAGGCAAGACATATATAAAAAAAAAAAAAAAAAAAACAGGGTCTTGAAAGAGTATCAAGTGCTCTTTCTTAATCATTGATCCATCTCTCCAGCTCCCAAAATTAAAGTTTTTAAAGACAAGACCATGTGTAGGAATCACACCTGTAATCCTAGCACTCAGGAGATACCATGAATTGAAGGTCAGCCTGAGTTATACATATAGTAAGTTCAAGGCCAGCCTGGACTATGTAATGAGACATCACTTCAAAACACCAAAGAGAGAGAGAGAGAGAGAGAGAGAGAGAGAGAGAGAGAGAGAGAGAAAAGGAAGGAAGGAAGGAAGGAAGGAAGGAAGGAAGG